AAAAAAAAAAAAAAACACCGCCTCGCAGAGTGCCTGTCCTTCCCGGTGCTGGCAGCAGTGAGGGTGTTTATTTCCCGTGGCGAGAGGTGGAGGTGTTGCTCGCTTCTCGCCCCGACTGCTGCAGGCGCACCCGAGTGAGTTTTGGTGGGGTGTGAGCGGTGCGTGTGCAGCGTGAGCGCGGCTCCTGGGGCCGTTCCGCGGCCAATTGCACCGCCTCCTCGCTTCTGGGCTCCGGCTGCGAGCGGGAGGCAAAGCGAAGGGGAAACCACCACCCAGAGAGAAAAGCGTACAGGGACGGAGGTGGCTCTGGAAATGCAATCACGGCGCTGAGTGCAGCTGGGGAGTCAGCAGGGCGGGGGGCGTTCCCCTCCCACCTCCACCCAGCACTTTCCGAAGGCGGTTATGCTTGGAATGAAATAGAAACCTTCAGTCAAAGTGCATTCAACCATCTCCCCTCGAATATCTCAGCAGGTGCAAGGGGTGGTGGCCAGGTTTGCAGACCGCCTCCTGCCCTCAGGTCCCCTTTCGGGCACCAGAGCCCTTCTTCAGGATCAGGTTTGGCGTGCTGCCTTTCAGCACCAAAAGGACAGAGAACTCCCACCCTGTGCTAGCGGCGCACAGCTCAGGTATGAACCGTTGATTCTTCTAAAATATGCTCTGCAACACAGATTGTCTTATCTCCTGCATCTGGTGGGGGAAGGCACAGCAGGTGGAAGAGAAGCAACTCTGCCTTGTCATAATTTGTGAATATGCGTGTTCACCCAGAATCACAGAACCATTAAGGAAAAGACCTCACCAAGTCCAACCACCAACCCATCCCCAGCATGCCCACTGACCACGTCCCTCAGTGCCACATCTCCACAGTTTCTGAACACCTGCAAGGACGGTGTCTGTACCACCACTCTGGACAGCCTGTGCCAATCCCTCACCACCTTTTCCGAGATGAAATTTTTCCTCAGATCCAACCTGGATGTTCCTGGGATACATGTGCTAATGGCAGAGCAGATGAGTTTGCATGCATCCATATTTGAATGCTTATAGTCAAGAAATGAAACACTCATTTTCAGAGAGTTTTAAAGTATCTGATTTGCCATATATATCTAAAATGTTTGCACCTATCCATACTCTCACACACAATTTCAATAATGGTGTCAATAGGAAGACTAACTATACTTCTCATTTGTCTATATAAGAAATTCAGACCAGCACTACATAAAAATTGTGCATTTGAGCATACCTCACTAAAACAGCAAGGTATGGTAGGGCCTTGGACACAAATGATAAAACCAACGCAGTTCTCTGCAGGTAGAAAACAAAATGACTTCAACTGACAGCTAATAAATACAGCACAAATGGCAATCTTTGGTTAGTATCCATGTCCAAACTGTGAGCCTCAAGGAAAATCTTTAGGCAATTGAAATAACTGGAAGTGATATTTCTACTTCAGCCACGGATGAGAGATGTGAATGGAAAAAAAAATGCCATCATACAAATCCAAATGAAGCCTGCAGTACCAAATAATTGGCCATAAGACTGTGATATGTTGCACAACCAACACATTTTCTGAACAGTGACCTTGGGACTGGACCCCTGAAAATCAAGAAAGATTTTCATCAGAAATACTCCAAGGCAAGAGACAGCCAACTCATGCTCTACTCAAACAAAGGAGGATTTGATGTTAACTTTCTGAGGTGCAGCATGGAAGCTCAAGCACCTCATGGCTGAGCTCACGATGCACATGTTGAGTTCCAAGCACTGCCTGCTTCATGGATTGTCCCACAGGAGTGGGACGTACGGTTTTGAAGCTCCCAAAGTTAAAAACAATGTCCTCAGCTCAAACTGGACATGTGATTTTAAATACCAGAGCGATGTGTCTGCACAAACCAAACTGAACCAGTACATGTAAGCAGTTACTCCTCATTAGTAAATAATGTCTGGCAAACCCTCAGACTTGACCTATGAGATAACACTGCTATGCACCTCTCCACTGTTTCATTTCAGCATGCAAGTGCTGTGAATTACTTTTTTTCATTTTCATTTTCACTGCCAACATCACCAAGTGCCATGGAAACCACTCCTTCCTCAGACAAATACGCTGTTTCCAACCAGGAGGCATGCTGTGCTTTTTAGCTTAGGTAAAATCACCTTCAAGACCAAATTCAAGAGGCTACTGAGATGACTGTTGTATTCCAGATTCTTTTACAACCCTTTAATAATGTGTTTGCATGTAGTACTTACGGGACAGGAGGAGGGTGGAAAGAAGTAATTCACAAGGGGATGGGGTCAGTGATGTAAGAGGAAGAGGATGTGCTATGACCAATGTACAGGCTGCCCGTTCTCACCTAGCACAGCTCTAAGGGCTCAGGTGATAGAACTGCAACCAGCACCAACAGCCATGGGTGTGACACTGCTAGCACACCAATCTCAGCAGGAAAGAGGGGGAAATGGACTCAGCAGCAGTTAAAATAGGCCAAGTGCATGAAGACTGAGACACAACTTCCAACTTAATCTTTCTTGAAATTCTCCGTTGATGAGTGATAGCTCAATGGCTTTTTACCTCTGTACTTCTCTGGGTGGGGATACTGTTATACTTGACTTTGCATCTCTCAGTTATGCACCACTCCCAACTTACTGCAAGGTAGCCCTGGGTCAGTGTTAGCATCTAAGGTCAGTATAAGCAGATTCCAAGCTTGTAAATCCACCAGGCTGCCTCATGTATGCTAAAACAACCCTATAATTCCACTAATAATAAATATCAGTCTTATCATCCAGTACTTTGGAAATGTAACATTCAAAACCAGGGATTATCCTGAATAGATAGAGCTCTGTCTTTTGAGGATGATTTAATCTTCATGACCTTTCTTGCCTGTGAGTTTCCTGCTGTGACTGAGCAGCAAGAGATCAGCTAAGTCCTACTGCTCTGGTCATGCTCTTGGTCTGACTGCTGCAGAACTGGGAACTGTCCTGGTCTTAACAAGACCATGTTCCTGTTTCTCATAGCATGATGCACTAGACATGTAAGCACTCCAAGTTAAGAATGGTGCATACCTTGGAGATTAAGACATCTGACTACAGGTGTTCAGTCTAGCTGGATGTCTGTGCCCTCCCCCTCTAATCAACGTAGGGAGAGGAATAAGAAGAACTACCCCAGCTCACCCAACAGTAGATGTTGGCCAGCCAGTTCGTGTCCATGCCAACCCAAAGACACTCTTGGAGTTGTTCTGCTGTGATGTTCAATTTTAAAGGTTGGAGCAATATTCCTGAGCTAGACTATAAACCCCCAAAACGACCCTTCATATTCAAGGGCAGTCATGTAAATCTTCAGAATAGAGGATCTCCAGATTAGTACCCACTTTTGAAAAATATAGATCTTGGCACACAAATAACAGTTTCTACATCTGAAGACAGCATTTGAATTTGCTGATTGAGGGGAGAAAATCTTTCATTAATTGACGAATATTCATCACTGCTGGTTTGCACACTTACTGACCTTTGATGAGTTGGCAGAAGCAACACTGCTGTCCTGTCAGCCATGGTTTGTTTTCTTTCCATCAATGTTTATTGCTAAGATATGGATGTATTAAAATATTGAGATGTAGGCAACGTGAGAAAATGGTTTCCTTTAAAATGAATATTTTTGTTTAAATAAACTGTGGTTTGTTAGTTTGGATTCTGGCTACCTCCATCTGAAACTCTCCATGGGCATCTTTTCAGTTCAGTTTCTTAAATAACATTTTACAAACAGCAGTGAGGGCTATGGAAAGAACCTGTGGTTTGGTTTTCAGTAGATATTTTGACACTGGCACTGCTTCCAGAATGGAAATGTAGTTCTGCACTTTTTCATACTATACTTTGTGGCCTGAGATTTGCTCCAAGTGAAGCAGATGGATGTTCTAGCCTGGTTGCACTGATTGGCCAAGTTTCATAGGACCAATGTATTTAATAATGCAATGAAGTCAGCATTTACCGATGCAGTGTATGTACCTCCTTCTCTGACAACAAACAAACAAACAAACAAACAAAAAACAAAACTAATTTTTAATTGAGAGCAATTTCTTCTGCTTCCAGTTTAGCCCTTGGCTAAAAAAAAACAAACTCATTAAATGTGTATCTTCCAAAAAGCAAATGGAGATCTCCTTGAAACAGACAGCTAGCTTTGTTTCAGAAAGAAGAGAGTAGGAGGAAGGCCATGGTGCTGCTGTGACATTTTCATCAGAAAAAAAGGCCAAAAGAAAAGGTCAGATCTGAATCTCTTCCCAGAAAAACGGGAAAGCCTAGACTCAGTTTCACCAACCACGACCTCTGAGCAGATCACCACATACTAGAAACTCTCCAACAGCTGCGCTGTGCTCTTGTATAAGAAAGCCAGGAGACTGCTGGGCACAGCAGTAAAAAGGTTCCTCTGGTGCATCTTGCCTGACCTACCTGAGTTCTTTGGACTTGATCAGGGAATGAACTTTATCCTGACTTTAGCCAGTGTTTTGCCTGTCTCTTACTACATTAATGTATTCAAATTAGGACAGTCCCAGCTAGGGAGGTAAAAAAACTGTTTGACTGATTGGATTCAGAGGGTTGATGTGATGGGACAGGTAGCTGGAGGCCAATGATAGCTGGAGTACCACAGAAGTCCTCACTCTGCTCTCAGTTTTTCAGATGCCAGCAGGACTGATCCCAGTTATGCCCAGATGGAAACTCAGAGGAATGAAACACTTACATTTGTCCCTAAATCTCAGTCCATCCAGCCAATGGGCACCCTGATTAGCTCTCCACATTTCCTATTGGTAAAGACAA